TCTAATAACATTTTGAGACAAAATCATTCGATTGCCTCTAAAAGTATGCCTTTTTAGAAGCACACTTTTGTTGCCTCAAAAAATCATTTTAGAGGCAACCACTAAATTGCTTCTAAAAAGCATTAGAGTCAATGTTATCATTTTTAGGGGCAATTTTGTTGTGCCTCTCTACAAATCAATTTTATTGTAGTGATGGTCATTAAAGTAAACTTAAATTTCACCATGCTCAATATGTGTAGTGGTTATAACAAATTCTTGTTGCCCCTTCACTGGTGGTTGATTCTATATATAAGCTTCCCATTAAAGTAGTAATACATATTCCCTCCGGCTCAGTATAAGCTTCCCATTTCTATTTCAGAAAATAATTAACACTCTTAAATGATAGCTTAATATTAAAATGTTAAAACTAATTCACCTATAACATCACAAATGTCGCCAATGACCTCATTATATAACATATTCACCAAAGTTACTTCTCAAATATGTTTAAATAATCTTATTTTCTTATCATCTAAATAACCGTGCCATTTTTTAATGAAAAGTTTCAGCCGAGAATAAGGTAGTAGATGTTATTCCGCATTCATATATGGGGGTGGGGAAACTTTTTCCTACTCATATATTCCAAAATATTCTAGCTTGAACACTTTTGCGACTTCTAGCTTATATTTTTTATGCGTTTAAACCAATTGTTTGTATATTCCATACTAATCCAATCCTTCATGATAATACAATTCAGATCCACAAACCATAGATAAAAAACAAGATCAAATAACAATGATAGAATGAAGTGTGTCATTATACAAAAAAGGCACATAAGAGAAGTACTAACCGTAGACAACATGCACAAAAGAGATTCGATATGATTACGACCAAGTGAATCACCAATGAAAGCCATTGTCTTTCCTTTAACATGGCACAAAAAGGCTTTGGCATCAAACCGTGGAAGACTACAACCTTCTGGTTTCCATCTCCAGTAAAGATAATCCATATCATTCCTTCCATTTAACAAACAGTTTCTATTCAAAGGTATTGATTTGCAACTGAGACTTGAATACAGAGGACCGTCCTCATCTTTAACCCAACGACCATCGAACAAATTGCAAGTATTATTATATATACCTATTAGCAATATAATAATTGTAGTCAGAAGATTGTTAAAGTGTTATAAATGATCGTTTCACTAATATTGCTTTTAAATAGTACATAAGTCAGTGTTAGTATACCAATTTGCTACATGTGAACTAATTATTATTCTTTCCATTCCAAAATAAATTTACTTAAATATATGTAACCTTCTACGCATGGGTTGTCTCAATATTTTGTGTCCTTTTAAGAGTGGAAAAGCCATTCTTATCATTAGATATAAAATCTCTTGTAAAAAATGGAAAAAAAAAGCGAACCAAATCAACTATTTTACATTATATTGCTACTCACTTGTTATAGGATGATGGAAATAGGCATTTGTTGGAGTGTGAGGATAATCTTTGATAGTTGAGAATCTGAATGGACTTAAAGTATAAAAGATATACAAAGAGAGCATAATATATAAAAGTAGCGAATAGAACCACAAAAACACCCCACCACCTAGCACGAAGCGTTTCTCAAGCCTAACCATGGAGTTGTTGAGCATTCCTGAGTGATCAGTGGCATCCATGTTGGCTAAAACTAAATCTCAAAAGTAACACAAAGTTCTCAAAGTCAAAGAAGACAATGAAAATGAGTAAAAACTAATATGTTCATTGAACGTAAAACGTTTTCTTCCAACACATAGAAGTTGCTAAATATGGATGGGACATACAACACAAACAAGAAGAGAGGAAAATGTTTGATTCTTCCGCTGTAATTAGTACCAAATATCTTGTACATGAACTTTATGTCTAATGATTTAAGAAAAAAAGGAAATCTTAGATTTTTATGTGGTTTACGTAGTATATATAAAATCATATCGTCTTAGGAGGAAGAGTGCGAGTAATTAAGATACACAAATGGAGATAATGAATATATGTAGAACATCTATCAAAGTAGTTTTAGTGTTTTGGTAGCTGCCTACAAGTGTTCTTTTCCGTCCCTCAGTCATATCGGCATCAAGTTTGTGGCCTTCATACCATCCATCAAATTTAGAACTCGATAAATACTTTCCAACGAGACAAAAAACGCTTCCAACGCCATGAAATACAACAAGATATGATCAACTCAAATACTACAGGTGTTCGGGTCAACTCGACAATGATTTTCAATTTCTGAGTTATACGTACACAGGGCCGGTCCTGTCCACAATGGGCGACACTCTAATTCGGGCTCATATCCAAGATAAACCGTAAACCATATACTTATTTACATATAAATTATAATAAAAGTATCTAACGAAGTTCATAAAATAAAGGTGAGGATCACTTTATTATTATTTAAGTTACATAGTTACGGAAAAGTAACAACACGAGTATCGAAAAATAACTATAATTATATATATATTATGTTATAACTAAAATGAATAAAAAGCCTTAATGGCTAAAGAGATGTTAAGAGTGAAAAGACATGTCTTTTATTGATCCAGCAACAATTGTATTGCTTTTAAAAACTAAAACCAGCTCTTCTTAAAATTAAATTAATGTATATATATATATATTCTTTTTTAACCTTGGCTTTGTTTAAATTTTTTTATATATGTTTTAAATTTTCAAATTGTCAATAAAATTAAACATTGTGCCTAACTAATTGAACTTAAGAATAAAAAAAGAAGCCTATTCACACAATATACAAAGAAAAGATTTTGGGCCTAGTTTTTCTTCTATATTTTTTCGGGCCTAGGGCGGTCGCCCCCGTTGCCCTCCCCCAGAACTGGCCCTTAACGTACTTATCCCGTATTATTCCGTAAACGAAGTATGTAGAAATTGAGCTTTGGAATTTGATTAATTCTTTCTAACGGACTATAAGACACTTCAAACCCACATAACGAAATACATCGTAATATGATCAAATACTACATGAGTTCCGAGTGAAATCGAAAATGTTTATGAATGCCTGGTTAATCTGAACATGTTCTTCAATACATTGTAAATGAAGTTCGAACAGTAGTTTAAGAACTCAAAACGATCATTCCAACAAGATTTGAAACGCTTGAAACGGAAGAACATTTATCAAGATATGATCAAATCAAATACTTAGTCTATTTTCTGTAATATATAGTGTTTTCAGAGTAAATAGATTATATTTAGCGTAAACTGATTCTTGAGTTCCACATTCGGTTCATTAGGTAACCATTCCGTAATATTTTGAAGAAAAGCCTGAATAAGAATAGCCATGATCCGAGACTCTATTGTCTCTATGTTCTCCACTTTGGATACCGCTATAGTTTTTCTTTATAAAAATTCCTTTAATGGAAGGCTGGCCACGGGAAAGGTTAATGATTTATTAAGAGTTAGAGCCACTCCTCAGGTGTGGATGTCTTTTATATGGAAACTTACATACCCCCTTGAGAAATAGGCTACCTACGTATGATAACTTGGGGTTTCTTGATGTGATTAATGTATGTCCATTTTGTACGGATGGTCCGGAGACGGTACCAAACCTATTTTTTGGTTGTACTATTACAGGTCAGGTTTGGGACATGGTGAGACAATGGCTAGGACTCACAAGGAAAATGAACACACTAAGGAGTGTAGTCAAATGGATAAAAGAAGAGCATAATGGAGCAAACATCAAAGCAAAGGACATAAGGATGTCACTATGCTACACTGTTTATTGTACTTGGAGAACTAGAAATGCTATTTGTTTTGATGGAGACACAACCAAGGTGGATGATAATTTGGTGCAAATTAAGTATATGGTGTATAAAGACCTCTATTTTATGTACGTGGTCCATACGATTACTCTTTGAAACTCTGGACTGTTTTACACCCACTATTTGTCATAGCTTGATGGCTGATTTTTTTGTGGTGGATAGCTAACTTAAATGGTTAGCTATCAAGTTGAGGTGATAGGGCATCCTTGATTGGGATTGCCTATAGTTTTTTGCTTTGTGTTCATATGATCATAAACATTCTTGGATGTTTCTATATATATATATATATATATATATATATATATATATATATATATATATATATATATATATATATTCACATTTCATCCAAAAAAAAAATTGAAGAAAAGCCTGAATAAGAGATGTAAAACTCGATAAGATCTTTAGAGCGAGATAAAAAACGTTTGGAACGCAACAAAATACAAAAAGGTATGATCAAGTCAAATACTACATGTCTTCAGGTCAACTCGGAAATGATTTCTAACTTATGAGTAATACGTACATATCCTTTATTAAAACGAATTGCGAAAAAAAGTTCTAGAAAATGAGTTTTTTAGTTTCTGAATAATGTTTTTTAATTTCTGAATAATGTGTGCCTATCCTTTGATAGTTTAGAAATTAAGTCTGAAAATGAGTTTTCGAACTCGATAATATGGTTCCAACAAACTATAAAATAATTGGAACGAAACAAAATACAACAAGATATGATCAAATCCTTTTTATAAAGTTTAGGTTAATTTGTACATATTCTTTAATAAATTGAAAATGAAGTATGAACATGAGCTCTAGAACTCAAAATGATCTTTCCAACAAGATATAAAACGCTGAAAACAGAAGAACATACAACAAGTTACGATCAAATCAAATAGTTAGCCTATTTTCTGTAATATAACCTTTTCATGTAAATAAAGAACATTTGGCGTAAATAGTCTTGGATGCGAATTTTGATGCATAAGGTACCCATCCCATAATGTTTTGAAAATGATGCCCGGAATTAAGTGATTCGTCAATAGAGACGCATGACAATTGTGTGTATTTTTTGATGACCTCATTTGCTAAATCATTTTTTTTGACTGTTTTTAGGAGACCTTTGATGTTTTTGTTGTTTCTTGTAAAAAGAAAGAAACCGTCCATATATACTCCTAGTTATTGAATAACATCATCTATAAGAATGGTTAGTTGCACTAAAATTGGGTCATCTCATTTCGAACATATAAAATTAAGTTATTCATCAATACAAATCTAAATCCATAATTGCATAATGAAGTATTTTAACACTAACTTGTCACTATGTTTCATATTTCTAATAATACCTTTATGACATATTATCTTGTACAACATATGCAATGGGTATTTCGTTTAGTTTTTGTTATTAATTATAGTGATGACTAAACCAAATGACATACAAACTAGGATCTATTTGGAAATGGTTGGGAGTGATTACAGCCATGGGGAATTATACAATGGAGTAACAACAGTTTTTGTTTTGAGATATTGGCCAAGAGCTTCCAATCCAGTATCTGTCCCAAACCCACTCATTTTGTACCCTCCATAAGGTATATCACAGCCCATCTCTAGGTAACAATTTATCCAAACAATTCCAGCCCGAATCGATCTTGAAACCGTGTTCACAGTGTTCAAGTCATTGGTCACAACTCCGGCTGCTAGCCCATATTGTGTAGCGTTAGCTCTCTTAATTACCTCCTCAACCGTTCTTCAAATCAAAACAAACAAAAATCAATTGCATGTTTATTTTTTCAATGTTTGAATGTGACAACACTACAAATTTGTGATACTTGATTGGTTTAATTAAGGATTATTTTCCATCCAGAGTGATCGATTGAAAGTTAAAATAGAGGCTGATTCTTAAAACTGCTTCCGCTTCTTCGGGAAGCAGAAGTGTTTCGGTGAAAGTGCAGAAGTATTTCTGGTGCACTAATTTACTCGTAGAAGCAGTTTTTTAGAAGATGGAGAAGACTAGCTTCTGAAAACTCATTCCGATTCTGTTTCTACTTTAAAAAAGAAGCAGAAGCAGTTCCAAACACCCCCATATACTCCCTCTAATGTTTGCTGCAATAAGATTTCACACATTGTTTAAGGGAAAAGTAGTATGAGTAACAAGTAGTGTATAAAAAAAGTAGGAGGGGTGGTGGGACAATATGAAAGAGAAAATAGAAAGTAGAAAAAATAAGGGTAGGTGAGTACTTTTGAAGGAAAAAACTTATCAAAAATGGAAAATGTAGCAAAGATTAAAATGCATTACAAAAAGGAAAGTGTAGCAAACAAAAGAATATGGAGAGAGTATGAATTTAAGGCTCAAATGTTTGAAAGCAATTGGTCAAAAACTAAATAATTAATAATTTACAAATTAAAAATTTAAAACTCAAAATTGATGATACTTCAAGTTTAGATTAATAGATTTTTTATGTTTTGAGCCATATATGGATGATTTTCATCATCTCAATTTTGAACTTAAAGCAAGCCAAACTTCAAAGTTTTGAATTGAAAAATCATAACTATAACTTACTTGAATTTAAGTAATGAAATAACTGGTCCAAATATCTCATCCTTTGCGATCAACATTGAATCCTAATCAAATAAGTTAGATATCATTAATCAATAATTACAATTAAAGGTAGCAGAATTCAATAATGGTGAAATTCATACTAATAATCCATACTTTCAACATTTCTACAATAATAATCCCTACTGAAAATATTAACAAAAATAATCCAATCTGCTAAACTAGTTCACATAAATAGAATAAACTAAAAAGGGTCAAACATTCTGTCTGATAAAAATCACAGACCCATCGTCACAACACCACCGTCTTTGTTTACGCTACTTTCATATCCCCAACAACAAGCACTTTCTACTCTTTTTTCATTAAATCACTTTAACCCTAATATTGATTTATATTCCATTTATTTTGAAAAAACATCAAAATATCATAAATCTAAGTATTGAATGATTCGAGAAGACTCCTTCTAAGACCTATTCCTAATCTCAAAATTCGGACCCTCTCTTTGATGATCAACCTAGGTGAGTGGGTAAGGTGAGAGTAAATGTGATTACAATATGCGATGATATTTCATTGAACTGTATTTGAGTTTTCTTACCTGGGAGTGGAAGCAAGAAATAATTAAGATGATTTTTTTGTTGATAAAGAGGGAGAAGAATAAAATAAGGGGGAATCGGAAATGGGGATGCAGTGTAGAAGAGAGACAGTTGTGCAGAAAAGTAAGGTGGGATATATTAGAAATGAATATGACGGCAATGTCAAACGGAATTATTACCTCCGTTTCAATTAATGTAGTTGGGTGAATGACTTTAAGAGTTTGGATTATTTTTATCAACATTTCTAGTAGGAATTAATATTGTAGAATCTGTTAAACTATAGATTACTAGTATGAATTTTTCAATAAATGATGTTATTTTACTTCAATGTTTTTCTTTTCTATTATTAAAAAAACAGTGTTAAGCCAAAACTCGAAGGCTTCGGTGTGAGGTCATGGAGCACCCCACTATTTTATTACGGAGTAGAACATTGAAATCACAAAGAGTAGAAAGGCTATATCAAAGTCGACTTGGAAATTACATTACATAAAGATAACTAACAACAAATTTAAGTATACCAACAAAATAATTAAAATAATAATTATTGGTTTTAATCACTTCATTTATTTTGACCAAATTAAAAGAAAAGATAACTTTTAACCAACAAGTAATTAACTCATGAAGTGCACAATCAATCCACTTAGGCTCTCTTGTTATTAGTGCTAGATTATTAGATTAGTTATTTGCATGGGTACTGAACATACACATAAGATAGGGAGCATTTTTGGTGGATGATTGTTCGGGCTATGTATTTCTAATGCAATGCATGCATGGTTGTGTTATTTTATTATACACGTGCATGTATTATATACACATGGGAGACTTATTTACTTAGAGTCCTTATCTTTTTAGTCTACCCACGACTTACGCATGTACAGGTAGGCGTAGTTATCTGTTGTTACGTAGCCTTGCATAGACGTGTATATATTGTACAACCTTGTACTGTATGTGATCGATCGGAAATAAAGAAAATTTATTCTGCATAGATTTCTTCATGGTATCAGAGAGGGCTATCTGACTCCTGAACTTACATTGACGATCTTGTATCGTGATTGACGAAAGTGACCCTACGTATTCCTGTGGAATACCATTGGCGAAGCAATGACGACTGATGAAGGAAGCAGCGAACGGAAGGATGATGGCCGGATACCAGGCCTTACAGAAGAACAGTGGCAATGGCTTGTCAAATTCATGGAGAAGAGTAAGATGATAACTCCTACTGAAAAACTGACTGGTAAGGTGTCTAATATTCGATGGCTTCTGGATTCCGGTGCTTCATATCATATGAGAGGTTGTGCACAATTATTGATGCACAAAGAAAGCTTGCCGCCTATGGCGGTGATATTGCCCAATGGTGATGTTACACATGCAACTAGTGTGGGGATGTGAAATTGAGTTCACATATTACACTTACGAAAGTCCTTTTAGTGTCTGGACTAAAGTGTAACCTAATATCTATAGCACGACTAATCGATGATCAGAAATGTGATGTTTATTTTACTAATCAATTATGTGTGATACAGGACCTACCTACGAGGATGCTGATTGGAGCGGGTAGACGACATGATGGAGTATATTATTTTCACGGTTTTGATACAATAGCTGTGCACCAAATTAAGAAGCATGACTCAAGTGACTCGTGGCACTCTCGGTTAGGACACCCGTAATTGAAAGTGATGCGTACTGTTTTTAGTTCTAATAATTTTGGCTCTATTGTTGAGATGAATAAAGATTGTGATGCATATTTGAGAGGAAAGCAAATTCGAGAAGTGTTTCAAATTAATAATGCTAGAGCTTTAGAACCTTTTAAATTACTACGTAATACATTGTGATGTGTGGGGTCCCTATCGTGTGCCTTCTTCGTGTCGTGCTCATTATTTTTTGACCGTGGTTGATGATTTTTCACGGGAGGTTTGGGTACATTTGATGAAGAATAAAGATGAAGAGACAAATATTCTAAAACAATATTGTGCCTTGACCAAACGTCAATTTGATAAAAATGTGAAGGTGGTTCGTAGCGATAATGGAGCAGAATTTATGAAGTTAAAAAATTACTTTCTTGATAATGGTATATTGCATCAAACATCTTATGTGTATACTCCCCAACAAAATGGAAGGGTGGAAAGGAAGCATCGACATATTTTAGAAATGGCACGAACTCTACGTTTTCATGCGAATCCGTTACTCGCACACAGGAGTCCTTATAAGTTGTTGCATAAGAAAGCACCATCGTATGATCATTTGAGGGTTTTTAAGTGTTTATCTTATGTGCATGCTCCACATGTACGTGACAAGTTTGGTGCAAGAGGTGTAAGTTGTGTATTTCTTGGGTATGCTCATTCTCAAAAGGGGTGGAAAATGTTTGATTTGGAAAATAATCAACATTTTGTGTCCCGTGACGTGCATTTTGTGGAAACACATTTTCCCTTTAAGAAGAAAGAGGATACGACTGAACATGAATCTATGACATTTTCTGGTGGTAACACGGATGATAAGGAAGATTTCTTGGATTCGTGTGCAAATACTGGATGTACAAATGAGAAGGAAGGTCAAATGCTACCAACCAAGAAAATGGGAGTACACGTGCAGTACATGCACACCACCATACTGACAGGGGCGGAGCCAGGACACTGGGCCGAACAGGGCCGGTACAAAGAATATTTTTAGAAAAAATTTTACACGAAATATTTTTACCCTAAAAATTTAGACACTTTAAAATTTGGGCTGGGCCATGGCCAGGGATGGCCACCCCCTGTCTACGCCCCTGCATACTGATGAGGAGCACGTAGTAGTCCAACCTGGCGACACTGGTGGTGCTGACCTTCACATTGGTTCTGAACCGGACATTGGGGAGCAGGAATTGGTTTTGCATGGAGAAACAGCAACACACGACGTGGCACAGAGGGGAGACCATGCACAGAAGAAACCATTTTGGCATTCAGATTATGAGATTCAGATGACACCGTGAAAATACATGTTCCGTCTGGCGTTTTATCCTCTCCTTCGGTTTCTTCTGGTAACCCTTATCATCTATCTGATTATGTAACATATGATCGTTTCTATGTTCCGTATCGTGCTTTTCTTGCAGTCATCTCCACTGTCAAGGAACCCAGCAGCTATCACGAGGCAGTGTGTGATCCTCTTTGGCGTGAGGCGATGCAATGGGAAGTTACTGCTCTCGAACAGAACGGGACCTGGAGGATTCAAAAACTGCCAGCCGGAAAAAAGCCTATATTCTGTAAGTGGGTATTTAAAATTAATTACAAAAGTGATGGGAGTGTAGATAGATATAAGGCACGACTGGTTGTTTGCGGAAATAGACAGGTGCAGGGGATTGATTATCATGAGACATTTGATTCTGTGGTGAAGATGGTGACGGTTCAGACTATTATGGCGGTTGCAGCTTGTCATAACTGGGAGCTGCATCAAATGGACGTGGACAACGCGTTCTTGCATGGCGACTTGGACGAAGAAGTTTACATGCACCCGCCACCTGGTTATTCCGTTTCTCCGGGACATGTGTGCAAATTGCTTCGTTCCTTGTATGGTCTGCGTCAAACACCACATTGTTGGTTCTCAAAATTAACAGAGGCACCGCGGTCTTATGGATTTCATCAGTCTTATGCGGACTACTCACTGCTTACTCTTCGTCGGGGTAATAACATTTTATGTATCTTGATTTATGTGGATGATCTTCTTATTACAGGAAATAGCCACGACATGATAGTTCATTTTAAAAATTTCCTAGCGACGTTCCTTCCTATCAAATATTTGGGTGTAATGAAATATTTTCTGGGAATTGAAGTGACACGAAATTCAAGTGGAATTTTTCTGAGCCAACACAAGTATGTGTTGGATATTCTGGCGGAAACCGGTCTGAGTGGAGCAAAACCGGCGACGTTTCCTATGGTGCAAAACCATCAATTACAACGAGACACGAGCCCATTATTTTCTTATCCGGACAAATATCGACGACTTGTTGGGAAACTGATTTATTTGACACTCACGAGACCCGACATCAGCTACTCTGTTCATATTTTGTCACAATTCATGCAAGCACCACATGTCTCACATTGGGAAGCTGCGATATGTGTATTGAGATATGTCAAGAGTCATCTCGGCCAAGGCATCTTCTTACGGAGTGATTCTTCGCTACCCTTGGTGGGGTTTTGTGATTCTGACTGGGCTAGCTGCCCGATTACACACTGGTCTACTTCTGGTTATTTTGTTATGCTGGGAAATTCACCTATTTCATGGCGTATGAAGAAACAGTTGACTGTATCTAGATCATCAGCCGAGGCTGAGTATCATTCTATGGCCAGTCTCACTTGTGAGCTAATCTGGCTTAAGAGCTTATTACATGCGCTAGATGTGACACATGACACTCCTATTCCTGATCTCTTTTGTGATAATCAGGCTGCTATACATATTGCCTCTAATCCTGTATTCCATGAACGGACCAAGCATATATATTGAAATTGATTGCCACTTCATACGTGATCATGTGCGAAGTGGTCTTATTGAACCACTACATCGATCCACTACTGAGCAATTAACTGATATACGATAGTATTTACAAAGGCGCTTGGAGCACATCAATTTGGCTACTGACTTTCCAAGATGGACATTCGAGATCTCCACGCTCCATCTTGGGGGGGTGTTCGGGCTATGTATTTCTAATGCAATGCATGCATGGTTGTGTTATTTTATTATACGCGTGCATGTATTTATATACACGTGGGAGACTTATTTACTTATAGTCCTTATCTCTTTAGTCTACCCACGACTTACGCTTGTACAAGTAGGCGTAGTTATCAATTGTTACGTAGCCTTGCATAGACGTGTATATATTGTACAACCTTGTACCGTATGTGATCGATCGGAAATAAAGAAAATTTATTCCGCATAGATTTCTTCAATGATAGTGATATACTATACATACCTCGACGTTTGAAAAGATTGCGGGCTGAATGTAATAACCCCTTTCATGGTGATGCTTGCCACCACATAGCAGTTTGGCTCCTTCTCTTTCGCCATGCTCAATATACGACAATATTTTCTCAAATTGGGTTTTATCAACCTATTAAAATACATCAAGTTAGGCTATGTTTAAAAAACCGACCCGACCCGGCCGGGTTGACCCGGAACCCGGTGACCCGGACAAAAAAACGGTTCGGTTTTTTCAAAACCCGGAAATGGTCAAAAACCAGAAAAACTCGGCTGACCCGGGAAAACCCGGTCAAGACCCGGACCCAAGAAACCCAAAAACCCCGGTAAAACCCAGTTTTTGGGTGTTTTTACCAAAAAAAGTAATTTCTTTTTTATTTTTAATGCATTTTTATACCAATAAAATTGCAATTTTAATACCTTAAAAAGAAAAACTACGTAATATATTTATATATTTATTTAAGAATGAATTGAACATCATGCCAAATTATAATATAGATGTACAATAAAAATAAAAATATCATTATATATTTTTATAAGATCAAAATATACATTGAAATATTATAAGATGTATTAAATGCTTAATAAGTAGTATTGTTAGTTGATTATTATGAATAATAACTAATTTTTATTATAATTTTATATATAATTATATGTTTACTATTATTATATAGACGTATAATCATTGACCGATTTTCCGGCATTGACCGGATTAATCCACCGGGTCCGGGTTAACCCGTGACCCAGTCATGTGGCCGGGTCACTCTCCGGTCCGGTTTTTACAACATAGAAGTTAGGTAGAATTAGGCAACCTCTATAATATTTATTATGATTACTTGTTATTGCTAGTATTATGAAACAAAAACTTGTTTAATGAATTTAACGATAAATGAAAACCTGAGGACCCTGATGAGTTGATGGATGAAATGGATCACCAACAATGGTCATTTTCACCTTCTCTACTAATTTCTTTGCGAAATCATCATAAATTCCTTCTTGAACAAAAACACGCGAGCTCGCAACACAAATTTCACCCTGAATCAAACTCAAGAATCTCAAAACATTTTTGAAGGGGAATATCAATAAAAAAACAATTACAAATTTGTAGTTAAAATAAAGGGTGTATAAAAATGTGATTTCTTAACCGTAGTCAAGAGTGGACCGATCACTGGTCCTGGACATGGACCATCCCTGGCGTAGCCGGTGTTGAGACCGGTCAGGAGATTGGTTCACCGATCCGAAGTAGATCAGAACTAGCCTTCTAAGTTCCAAAATGTGGGACCAGAATCAGCCAGTCTCAGTCCTGATACGGTCCCAACGGATCATTTTCCCCCACTATTTTGTTCTTGGCTAGCCACCAACAGCTCGGGAGCCAATCAGCCCCCAACGGCTTTTTTTATTGTCGGGCCTGAGGCCTGGGAGTGGGGTGAGGAAAAACCTACATATACCTCTTATTTTTCTCATTTGTCATACACCTCAATTATCTTAATTAGTATCTTATATTCTTATCTTCCTCTACAATTCATACAATCTACATTACTACTCTCTTAATTATATTTGTGTTTATCATTTTATTTCCAATTCTCTCATCTTTGTTATGAAAGCAATGTTAACTCACTACGCTATCTATAAGAACATCTCATACGGCATGTTTTATGCATAATGTCTTCACTGTCGAAGGTTTTGTATTTTGGAAAACAAAAAAGCAACGATTATGGTACACTATGAAAGCATTTTCATAGGACACATTCAGCGCTCAATCATGCCAATAATGAATAATTGTTGTGTTCGTATGTTAATTACTCAAACATTGTGCACTATTTTCATAAGGCTTTATGCTTACAGTTGTAATATTTGTACGAATTCAACACTTTTAAATTTGTAACAATTTGAAATTTTCCAAGGAAAACTATCAAATAAGCCCTCGAACTTACATAAAAAGTGCAAATTACCCCTTATAAAGAAGGTTTTGTCCGACCGTCGCCATTTGGGGCGGTTCCCTGTGAAATTTTTTGATGAAATTTTTTTAGCATCTTATTCATTAAGTCTAGTTTATCCAAACCAAATTTCAGCTAAAAATTCAATCGGGAAGATAGTCAAATGAATTTTTGAAGATAACAGCGCAGTATATTTTAGAAAATCATTTGACTATCTTCCCGGTTGAATTTTTAGCTTAAATTTGGTATGTGTAAACTAGACTTAATGAAGAAGATGTTAAAAAAATTTCATCAAAAAATTCCAGCGGGAACTGCCCCAAATGGCGACGACAGGACAGAATCTCCTATATAAAGGGGTGATTTGCACGTTTTATATAAGTTTGAGGTCTTATTTTGATAGTTTTCCCAAATTTTCCATTTATTGTTACATCTTTCGATCTTAAACGTGGAATAATAAATTTTAACGTGTTAATAGTATGTACGTTTAGCCGTTTATAATTTGCTTGCGTGTGACAATGTTTCAACACATCTCCTTTTAATATAAAACATGATGGATAACTTGTGGGTGAATAACTGAACCATTTATCCCTAAAAAAAAAAAAAAAAAAACTGAACCATTTATAAGTGTTCATAAATGAGCCAATTGAGTTATAAGAGTTAAATGTTAGATTATTGGACTCATACTACATGTAATATTCACAATATATTATTTATTCGGTTTAATTGTATGTTATATGCTATCTTATATTTAGTCCAAAAATTAGTGGTCTTATGAATATTAATTTAAGTGGGCTAATAAGTTATCTAATAAGGTATAGGTCCCAATTGTGTAGAAACCCATGAGCTTAACTTAATTAATGATGGGCTGATTAGGGTTAAACATTCTCTATAAATAGAGGGGTTATGGTCCCTAGTTGAACACGCCATTCCGTCTTTCTGAATCCCATCGCTAGAAAGATAATTCACGAGGGTGTGTATCAACTAGAAGACACAAACCCTAGCCTCCGTCTCCCGAATCTTTAAAGATCATCTCCAATGGAGTCAGGTACGCTTAATATTAGTTCTCTAGATAATTCCAATATGAAGATTAAAGTATTATCGGATTTATTCCAACATTAAAACATTATTACTAATATTTGTATTATTGTATAGGAAAAAAGAAAATAATGTTAATATAAGCCTAAATTTATTTTAAAGCAACAAAGTTTCTGAAATAACCTATATAGAGCTCACAAAATTTAGTGAGGTACGTCCGTACGCAGTATTTGTTTACTTGATTCTTTATACTTTAGCGGCGTAACACAAATATGCGAAGTGTAGTTGGAGGTTATAATTTACTTGATTAAATAATTAAGGGAAAGTTCCTGAAATAGGATTAAAACAGTTTGAAAATTCCAAAATAGGACTGACATGTATTTTATTCCCAAAATAGGAGTAATTACTGCCATGTTTGGAAAATACTGCCATGTTTGAAGTCTGGTACTGCCAAAACATGACAGTAATTAGGCCTATTTTAGGAATAAAAACATGACAGTCCTATTTTGGAATTTTCAAACATTTTTAGTCCTATTTTGTGTAATATCTCAATAATTAAAAACATGAAAATTCTATTTTACAATTTATTTTCAAAAAGAAGTTCTCGAAATAGGACTAAAAACATAGGAGAATTGCAAAACAGGAATGTCATGTTTATTCATTAAATAAAAGTAACTATAATTAAGTTTGAAAGATATTGTCATGTTTAAAATATAATATTTCCAAAATATAGTGGTGATTAATTCTATTTAGGAAATAAAAACATGATAATCCTATTTTGGAATACAAACATATTTACTGCTATTTAGGACATTAATTTTTCCTATGTCAATTGGTACCTTATTATATAGACTGCCAAATTGAGTAAGTTTTGCAGCCATATCAATATCGGCATCTTCAAAAATTATGAGAGCGTTCTTTCCTCCCAACTCTAATGTGACTGGTTTCAAATTGCTCTCCGCTGCTGCCTTCATCACTAGCTTCCCAACTTCGGTTGATCCTGTAAAACTGACCTAAAAATAACAAATTAAATAGGTTAAAAAAATAAGACTATCAACCTTTAAAAAATGCTCCTTTTGAGACTTGTAGATAGTAGAAACTAGTAAATTAATTAAACAAACTTCTTTGTTTACTTTGTCAATGTCCATATGAGATGAAATGGCCGCTCCAGCAGTTGGACCAAATCCAGTAATAACATTCAGTACTCCATCCGGGATACCAGCCTGATTCAAACATCAATGATAAAATCAAACATGTATTTTCAGTCGAGGTTGAAAATATCGGTATCAATACATATTGCCTCTATTTATTTATATTTAGTTCTAACATTAGTGAATTTTACATTAATAAACACGTTCTTTATTTTGATCAAATTTTATTTATTAACGTATTACAAATTAAATACTTGGAAAATATTGTTGAATTCCTCTCATTTTAAATGATCAAACTTGTACATTAGCAAACGTTAAAATTTCAGGGAACTATATCACTATTCTTTGAAAGATTTATAATAATAATGAAAATATGAAATACGTAGTATTAATTAAATATTATAAACTTGAGCATAAAGAATATTAGAAATAAGGCTTAGACTGTGTTTGGATGATCACTTCAGCTTAAAATGAGCTGAAATTTGATACGTCTAGGGAACTAATTGACATTAGTCTTTTTTAGTGAAGAGATTATATTCACTAGATTTCAAATTAATATTTGAAATGTTACTAATTGTAGTGTTTCAATTAACCAATTTCCCACAACCTTATGTCAAAATTACCCTACTCCTATTCAAATTTTATATCATTTGTATTAAAACATTTATTTTTACTTTGCAGTCGTTATTTCAACATAACTGTGTTGTCAAGTAGGTCTACCGCATTCATTTAGCATTTTGGTTTCATATCTTTCATATATCTCAAGGCAATCTGTATTTGTATAATAATATAGTAAAGCAAATTCTTGAAAATTCTATGAAGGAATTGATGACATGTCACAACATCCTTCATAGGAAAAATTGACATGTGACAACACCATAATAAAGTCATCCTCTTAAATACATTGTTTACAATGTGTTTGCAACATTTATAAGTGAAAAACTATCCAGCTTTCAAAACTTCACTCGCACGTCTTCTACTACCATACCATGTTCGTTGTTTTGAAAAGCACGTCTATTCTATCATGTCAGTAATGTTTTGAATAAATTAAAGTTAGGTACACATTTATACTCAATGGTAATTCAAAAATTGCAAATACTCAAAAGTTAAAAATACTTCGATCTTCCGCCACACAAAGCATTTCCAATTTAACATTTTCTTGGTCAATTTAACTGTTCTTGGTCAATTTAATGATAACAAACTTCGGATAATAAATCCACACCAAAAAAATCATCGGTAAACCAGCTTCGCCTCGAAATGCCCAAGCCCAATCTGTTGTGGGCTATGCTTTTCATGGTTCGGGTTGGCACAACTGTATAATGGCACTATGGCAAGCCAAATTTTCTTCATCTCTGCCCCAATCCATCCAAAACAAAATGGGGGGGTGGGGGGGCTAGACATGAGGGGGGGCTAGACCTGACCCAATTAAATGTGCCCTCGTGGGCTAGCCCCCGTAAACAAGTGTAAATGGGTTGAAGCGGGTTAGCTTGCGTGTTTCATCTCATTTCAATATATAGCATCATTCACAGTTAACACAATTATCTTTTAAATTCTAATTTTGATAATCATCTTAATCATTTTCAAAATTTGATATTTGTAACTCAATTAAATGTAGTGTGTAATCTACGAATTCACTTACAGCTCATTACCTTTACAATTATATTGTATTTTTAAATTTCATTCCTATGTGAATGAAAAACATTACACATATATTACAATGCAATTCACGTGCACGGGTACATATACTAGTAATATTTATACAGCTATCACTCTTTAAATACTGTAACGGACCTAGTCCATACTAGGCTCATACCACTGCCCTAAGCCCACAGGAGTAGAACTCACTCCTAAAATACCAGCTTTTTAGGAGAAGGGAACGTCTTGCTTATAAACCACCGGTCAAGCCCATATTTGACCGGTGTGGGATCGTAACAAATACTTTATCAAACAAATAATAACAACACAAACGAAATAATATACCTTCTTGGCGAGATGAGCACAGTAAAGAGCAGTAAGGGGAGTTTGCTCTGCAGGCTTCACAACCATAGTGCATCCTGCAGCTAATGCAGGGCTAACCTTGTGAAACATTAGGATCATCGGAAAGTTCCACGGGATGATCATTCCGGCGACGCCGATCGGCTCCCGGAGTGTGTACCCTTGGAGGGACCTCGACAGCTTCAACGTCTCGCCGTGGATCTTATCCGCCGCACCGGCGAAGTACCGCAACGCCCCTGCAGCGGCGGGAATATCCACGGCCTTAACTAAGCTGTACAACTTCCCTGCGTTCATTGTATCCAGTGCTGCTAATTCCTCTGCATTCTCCTCAATCAAGTCGGCCAACTTCATCATTATTCTCCTTCTCTCCTGTTCATCCCCAATTTTTCATCTCTTAATTCCATAAACAGATTTTAGGACATTAAACTGGTCTGATTTGATTTAGTGAGGTTTCTTTAAATCTTGTGAGGCTTGTTCAACAGGGGGTCTAGAGTTTAAGAGCAGTTTGCAACATGTATTCAAGATCGATAACTTTTTTATCGAACGCATAACGTTTGGTTTTGCACTTGAATCGTATAATATCAGATGCGTAAAGTTGGAGTTATTTTTCTCGCTTAATCCACATGGTAGATGTCCATTTTAACTCTTTTCATACGGAGTATAATTTTTCGTTATCTTATTAAAAAAATTAATTTTTTTCCATAATTAAGTAGATTTAGTTAATTAAGTCGTTTCAACTAGAATTTCATCAATTTTCAGTCGATTCAGCCAATTCCAGTTAGTTTATGAGTTAAGATTCCCTGGTCGTGAGATAAATGGTTCAACTTGTATAGAACGAAAGACCTATATTTTATGTCAAAATACATACACATCCCGGAAAGCGGGGCCATGGTCCGTGATCGAAGGCCGCACGAGCAGCCTTGACGGCTAAATCGACGTCTTCTCGGTCTCCCTCAGCGACCCTCGCAAATGCTTCACCCGTTCTTGGATCAATTGTCTCAAATGTTTTACCTGCTTGCACAAAAAAATCTTCTAACAAGTGCATCTAATTCAAATTCAAGACACATTACACAGGTACTGTAAGTTAAAGCTTGTGTGGAACCTGTCTTTCTAATTTACTTATAAAAATTTGAGCTTCTTCTGAAATTATAATTCATACTCCCTATTTGGGAACACTTGGCTATTGAAAAGTTTTTTTTTTTGTATGTTTTCAGCTGGTCGCCAACTCACTCTCCGGAGTATAATTCAACCCTATTTGCTTTAGACTCCCCCGCACCCCTCCCCGAGGTTAAAAGAAATCTGATTATGTCATAAGTCATAACTTCAATTCTAAGCACTATATTAATAGCAATAAAAGTTAAACCTGAAACAGAGTCAACAAAATCTCCATTGATGAATAACTTGGTGAACTTGACATCCGGAAACTTGAAAGAGAACTCCATGCTTCCGTTGGTTTGGGTAGCCATTTCTGCGTTGTACCTGAGTGAGGAGGAGCAGATACTTATGCAAGCCTATTTTTACGTCTCACACAAATCTTTCACTTTTATAACTAAACAATTAGGAGAATAGTTCGGTACTTATACACAAATCACTCTATCTACAATTCCCTTTTTCCTGCAAAAATGCATTGTATACATTTTATTTACATATATACTTTTAAAATTACCTCAAATAAAAAAAATCTCTCCTTCCCCAACAAATTAAATTAGTCAACTCTCATTATTTTGACATAAACTTCAACCACACAAATATGAAACAAGAATTGGACACAAACTATGTCATTTGGACACAAACTTATATGCAAACAAATTAAAATATACAAGTACATGAGCCATTTCCCCTTTTTGGCTCATAATCTATATGAGCAGTTATACTTCCTGTTTCTCAATTAAGTGTTTCAGGCTTTCAAATTCAAATTAGAAGAAAAATGATGAAAAAGTAGAAAAGTTATGGAAGAAAAGATGAAAACGTAATGAAACTAATGTACAATAAATGTAAAATAGTAGAAATATAGTACTAAAACTCTTCAAATTAAGAAGAGATAAGGGTCAGATAGGGTCTCGAACTTGAAAAAAAATGTCAAATAAGGCCATATTTAGGATGCTCTGTCCGGCCGACGCCATTTGGGGTGGTTCCCGGTAGAATTTTTTGATGAAATTTTTTGAGAATCTTATTCATTAAGTCTAGTTTACTCATATCAAATTTGAACTAAAACTTTAATCGGGAAGGCATTCAAATGAAATCTTGAAGATAACTGTACCGTTAAAAGCGCAGTTATCTTCATGAATTCATTTGAATGCTTTCCCGATTGAATTGTTAGTTCAAATTTGATGAGTAAACTAGACTTAATGAATAAGATTCTCAAAAAATTTCATCAAAAAATTCCACCGGGAACCACCCCAAATGGCGTCGGCCGGACAGAGCATCCTAAATATGGCCTTATTTGACATTTTTTTCAAGTTCGAGGCCCTATCTGACCCTTATCCCAATTAAGAAATAAGATAGTTAATAAAAGCTTCTAAATAAAGAAATCATAATTATTGTTGATAATACTAACGATAATATTGTAAATCTGGTTAGTTCAAATTGCTGAGGGGCGGGCGTGGTGACTTAACCATACTCAATTAACCGTGGTTTCAGTAACTAAAGTATCAATATCATTATCTATACCATCATATCGGTAATGGGATATTGATTAACCAATGTTTCTATTAATCAGTAATTGGCAGGGGCGGAGCTAGAAGAGGGCCAATCCTGGCCCTGGCCCAGTCCAAATTTTAAAAATGTTTAAATTTTTAGTGTAAAAAATTTCGTGTATAATTTTTTCCAATTACCAGTGCCCTGACTTCGCCCCTGGTAATTGGTTAACCAAAGAGTCATGGAACAAATAAAATAATTGACAAATAATGAGAAAGATGGACCACAATTTAGATTTACCAAGGGTCAAAATTTCTAAGATGTATCATATGGTGCTAGACTCATGGTCCACATACTCAAAAGACGTTGTGACTCAACTAGACAAGCAGCATGAAACATTCTCAATAAGGCCCCTCAGCCACTCAAAGGCACTATCACTCGACCCATATCATACACACAAGGATTGGGATAGAGTCGACAAGATCACCTTCATCGAGTATCCTCGTGTCCATCATCCCAGTTTAAATGATATTTCAATTCAAACCCTTATAGTTATAACTGTTCAAAATGGGGCTATTTATAGTTAAAAGAAACATTGACATAAGGATGAGGGTAACATGCCCCTAGGACAGGGTAGTACAAACACCCACGGCATCACATGCCTTCTCCACATACACGGCAAGGCTTCGCCTGTAGACTAGCAAACACGTGTACTAGCACTTAATCCACTTCACATTTATTTTCACTATAAATAGCCCTGTTTTGAACAGTTATAAGGATTTGAATTGAAGTATCATTTATAGATAATTTTATGAGGGAATTCCCTAAATAGGAGTATCATGTTTTTTATTCCTTGAATAGGAGTAATCTGCCATGTTTGGAAGAAAATGCCATGTTTAAAAGCTTTGTAATGCCAAACTTGGCAGAAATTTACTCCTATTCAGAGAATAAAAAACATGATACTCCTATTTTGGAATTTCAAAACGTTTTTACACCTATTTAGATCAATTTCTGTAATTTTATCTATCTATTGAATAGTTCTATTAAATGTATGTTTTTTTCTCTCACATAAAGTATTTGTACTCTAATAAAATAATATTCGTAATCTATTCGATGGTATTAGATAATATAATGGTAATAATGACTTAGAATTATGTGAAATAAAATAGTCGGACTAGTTTTCTTCTATCACACTTATTTCTTTCTATTTCCAACAGGGGCGGAGCCAGGGCACTAGGCCGGACTGGGTCAGTACAAAGAATATTTTTAGAAAAAATTTTACACGAAATTTTTTACCTTAAAATTAACCCATTTTTAAAATTTGGGGTGGGCCAAGACCTAGGTTGGCCCACCCCTAGCTCCGCCCATGATTTCCAACCCTTTTAACACAAAATATATACATATAGCATTTTTTTAAACACTCTAAACTAACATATTACTAGTATCAAATAACACTATCTACCCGCAATTGAAATATTTATTTAAACCCTTAATGGTTTTCTTTAAAAACATATTTTGAAAATAAAGTGTTTTTAAATGGTTGAACTAAACTCCGTATTATGGAATGAACTAGGAAAAGCCCTTACGTATCTCTTACATGCCCCACCCCTCTAGCTCTAACCTCACATCAACAAAAGTGGACAGGGGACGCTTATCTCCACAAGATTGATTATTGATGCTTTTACTTGGACTGGAATTTGCTGGTCTAGTCTGATCTGAACTGGTCTGATCTGGTAATGTCTGGTCTCTTTGTATTTTTATAACTATCCAAATCTAATCTGGTCTGTTCTGCTCTAATCTGATCTGTTCTAGTCTGGTCTGGTCTGGGACAGATTACAGTTCAAGTAAAAACATCTCATATCCTCCACCCTTCCCTCATATCATCTCTAATGTAGAGGTTGGTCTCTTACACACCCTTACACCCTTCCCTCATATCTGTTCTAGTCCTATTTTTTATCACAAAATTTTTATATGTAGGACTCATATTTTCTAATTTTTGTTCATTTTCATTTTTATCACTCTTAACTCATTTTTCATCTACTTTTTCATCTTGAATCTCATGTAAGGTTCATTTGTGGACCTTGTCATAAACTTAGGTCTATATTTTATTTCCATCTCTCATCTTTTTCATTTTTTCGTACACCCTACACCACTTTATTTATATTAAATTAAAATATTCATTCTAATCTCTATCTCTCCATGTCACATCACAACTATTCACCCTCCCTCATTGGAGATGCTTTCTCATATGTCTCGCTCGATTACATTCTCTTTTATGAAGTCTATATTAGATATAATATGCTACAAGCCTACAATTCATGATTGGTTGAGATATTTGGTAATCCGTATTTTTTTTGTAGTGTAGATGATTCCATTTGTTTTTATCATCAACAAATAACATACTTAATGATACCAATATATTGTTGAGTTTTTGCACATGAACTTATCAAGGAATTAGTCAATATACTATTGAATGAGCAAGCTAAAATTAGTGAATGCATTTCATCACAAGAAAACCCTTTGGTGCAAAAACATTTTCATAAATTAAACTATAAATTATACCAAATTTTTTTACAATTTTAGTCTAAACGATCCACTGAACCGTTGCATATTGACCGTTCGAGGTACGAGTTGGGCTCAAGCTAAGTGCTTTTCAGTTTGGGATTGTACATCAATTCTACTTCATATTGGAGGTCGGACATCGAAAGCATATGTCGGAGCAGGAGTTTCCCGGTTGCTTTTCAAGATTGTAATTGTTTCCTTTATACGATGTAAATTTATATGATTAGTTTATGTAATTTTATCAATTCAAGATCGATCTGAAAGATCGATTAATCATCGATATGAGACTTGAAAGATAAAATGTATCGATATAAGAGTTGATTGATGAAAAATTATGCCAATTCGGTTTAGTCATACCCAAATTGATCCGATCTTATTCAAAACCTAATCGAAACTATATATATTGGTCCAATTTTCCATCCAACTATTTGAATTGTGGGTTTCGCACTGGTGCAGTTGGTGCTCACTCTAATTAGAAAGAGTACACCTGGATTCATAAATCACAATCACGCAAACTACACTTCCAGCAAAATAAGGAAATATATAGAATCAAAAAATGAAATGTGCATCGCAAAAAAAAAATTGAGATGTGCGACTATCATGCTTTTCATATGCTATTTGGTCCTGCAAATTTCATCCGCATGGTCCGCGTCAGTAGCTTACATGGGGGATGTGGGAGATTTCCTATAAATGAGGATATCTCCGCCTTAGCAACTTCGCATGCTGTGTTAGAGACAACATTCTAAAAGGCCTAAGGCTGACTAAGGCGGCCCAACTAAGCCTTATCTTTTGAAGCCTGACCGGCTTAATTAGGTGGCCCGTATAGGCGTGAAAAAGTGTTTTGATTTTTTATTCTTTATTTTAATTTATAGAATTAATGGAAAAGGTGCAAATAGGCCCATGTACTAACAAAAAAGGTCAATTAGCCCTTATTAAGGAGGCTCTGTTCGGACGTCACCATTTGGGGTGGTTCCCGGTGGAATTTTTTGATGAAATTTTTTTAGCATCGTATTCATGAAGTCTAGTTTACTCATACTAAATTTCAGCTAAAACTTCAATCGGGGAGAAATTCAAATGAATTCTTTAAGATAACTGCGCAGTTAAAAGCGCAGTTATCTTCAAGAATTCATTTGAATGCCTTCCCGATTGAAGTTTTAGCTGAAAATTGGTATGCGTAAACTAGACTTCATGAATAAGATGCTAAAAAAAATTCATCAAAAAATTCTACCGGGAACCACCCCAAATGGTTATGGCCAGACAGAACCTCCTAAATAAGGACTTATTTGACCTTTTTTGGTTAGTACATGGGCTTATTTGCACCTTTTTCCTAGAAT